TATCTATCTATCTATCTATCTATCTATCTATCTATCTATCTATCTATCTTTCATATGGATGTCATTATTTGCTCCGTACCCCCTCCCCCAAAAAGCCTTTGAGGGCTTTTTGACCTCCTTTTTCATCCTGTAATGGCCTTTGCCAACTGTATCTTTTTCATGATGGAATATGCTCAATAATAAAAATGCGAACTGTTCCCTTTTCTGTAGTGTAGTTATCTTGAGGGATGAGGAAGACTGTTTCCAGCTGACTGTGGAAAAGCCTCATGGCGGTCTTTCATGTGGGCTATGTAAAGTGCCACCAGTTCAAACATACATTTGAAGCGCCTTTATACACCTCCTTCACAGTTGTTAAATAAAGTTCATGTTTGGTCAACGGATGGCATAGGATGGCTGGTTGTTCTATACACACCATTTTTACAATCTTGCCAGCTAGTATAAAGGAAATTGGGAGGCTACCAACTTCTGCTTCACTACTTTGTCTTTTCTTCTTTTTTTTCTATTTTTAGTATGACTGGCACACAAGTTTAGAAAGGCCCTGCCTATATCTCACTCCCTCTTCTATGTACACACTCTAAGATAGACATTAGAATGGCAATAAAAATGTTCCTGGAGAAATCTCAATTTTACAGGGCTTTTCTAAGATGTCATCTTGACCTCAAAGAGGTAAGGACTACTTAAACCCTGCTCAAATATCAATTTGGACAGTAGGACTATTATTTCAATTCCAAAAAAAGATGGAGCTGCTTGGAGCCTGCTATATCTAACTCCTTTGGCTTAACTGTCTGCAGCAGTTAATCTCATTCTCCTCTTCTCAAGTCATGCTAAACCTTCCCCCAGCCATGATTCACACACTGTGATTCAATCAAGGACCACTATGTTAGTAGATGTGCCCCTATAATGCTTAGAGGCCTTGCTTACTGACAGCCTTGCTTAGCAACCATTCAAAGTTATGATGGTGTAAAAAAAAAATGCTTTGTAACCAATCCTTGCATTTACAACTGTCACAGTGTCCTGCGGTTGTGTGATTGTCATTCACGGGCTTCACAACTAGCTTTCAGTAAGTAGAGTTAATGGAGAACATGGAAGTAAAATCGCAAGTGGTGGTAACAAGATGTCTTGCTTAACAACTGAATGGGAAGTGACATCATAAGCCCGTCACAGTCATGTGATTTTCCTCTTAGCAATGGAGTTGCTGCTCCTAATTGTGGTCACTAAGCGAGGACTACCTATATATGAAATGAAATGCAACCCAGCAACCCAGAAAAAGTTCCTCACCACTAATTTATATAGTGACTATTTTTTTTCTGGACCTGTCTACTTTCATGTTTGTCATTGTTCAGTCTTTCCTGGCCATATTTGCCCAAGCCAGATTTCCAGGAATAAATTCCCTCTCCCGCTTTTGTGTTTGTGTGTGAACGTTTTCTTTGAAGAAGTCTAATAGCATGATTCTATGCACCACACTGCTAAGTTAATATTGAGGTATTATCCATATGTCCATTTATGACTGCATTTAATAACCTGTCCTAATATGACGCATCCTAGATCTGTGGGGTTTCTACTTTAAATCTCCTAGTTTAGGCTATGAATTATGACAGATGAAAACATGTGAAGGACTGTTATGTGATATAATAATGAGGCTTTGCAAAGCAATCTTCTGGAACAAGTTGAGCTTCCAGGAGCTACCTACAGCCACTTCCAAACTCCAACAGACCATAGCCAAATTTGACAGCAAAATGTCCACATTTTGGTAGCGCCATTTTTTTCTCTTTTTCAAAGAGGATGAGAGTAGGAGTAAGAGACCTTTGGGAGGCATTGCTTCCATTATCATCCTGAATCCCCCCCATGCCTCCAAATGGCCCAAAATGTCTCCCAATTTGTAATTTGGGGCTGTTTTGTGGGGTTGGGGGTTGTAATGGAAGTGGCTTGCTCTGAGATGCCTGGTTAATATGGGTGGTGGTATTGGAACTTTATTACAAAGGCTAGCAATTATCTCCTTAAAACCATCAGTGCAGGCAATCTAAATTACTTGTAAAGCGATCTAGACAAAATTGCAAAATAATGTTTCTTTCCAGGAACTGAATGAAACATTTTACCTGTCTAGCCAGGAAATAACCTGGTTTCTCCAATTTTCTTGGAAACTGTCAATTTTTGGAATCAAGATAGCATGAAGTGAAATGTTGAAAATTCCTGAACCATTTCTGTTAAAGGGTTCTTTGTCCTGAAATGCATGTTTGCTGAGAACTAGAACAGCATATGCAATGTCTCACCTTACAAGATAAATTAATTCCACTCTGTTGAATGACAGGTAGTGCATCAGCCAGATCTAACAGCATCAGGTCAGCCATTAATGTTTGGTCCATAGTGGGGGGAAAATAATCTTCACAATCTCCTTGTTTTCTTCATAATCAGATTCTGTATCCTTTGTTCTTTTCATGCAGTCTACTGAAGTGACCTAGTATCCAAAATGTTACTTACTTAATAAATAAAAAGCAAAATGTTCCAAGTATTCATTTGTTCCTGAACATATTCCAACAGTTACAGTAAAGCATATGTTTGCAGTTCTGTCCAACATGCAAATTGGTTCCCCCTCAGTGATGAATTTTGGGTTTTCTTAAAATAATAATGTGGCTGCTTCTGATTTTTTTTTTTTTTTTTTTGGGCTCCTGTTCTTTTCTGTACAGCTTTACACATTATGACTCATCTTTTATGACATCCATCTTCAGTTCACCAGAGAGGCAGCGACAGAATATTTCACTAATGGTTATGCCACACTTGAGTTACTGTTTCTCTCTTCATTCATGAAGATAAATGCCACAAGTATAATACATGTCAAGCTTATCTTGTTTTATATTGTTTTTCAAAACTAGAAACATACTTACAAAAAAAAAAAAAAATGCCAGCAGATAAAATTTGGAAAAAATTCAGTACTGCCTTCGGGAACAGAAGCCTATGCATGTTGTACCATTTTCATGAGAAATGAAGATCTTTAGATTTAAGAGCATCCCCCAAAAGAAGGGTGGACAGGAAAAAAATTAAGACAGAT